CAGTTCTATTTCTGGATATGAGCTCCAGAGAGCCTCATGCATATGTATGACAGAATATGTACACATCAAGAGTGTTCTTTGCCGAACATTCTCGGCATGTATTCTGTTACAGTACCCATATGCCTGCGTGTGCCCGGCTACACATACGTGTGCTTGTTTATCCATAAGGTGGGAGTGTTCCTCGACAGTGGAATATATAAATCCATCCTGGTCTGTTGATGCGACGGGATATTACGAAGCCGTGAAAATGAAGACAGTGGAAAGAGCTCATGAACATCGTCGTAAGAGAAAGATTCAAACTGAAATATCATTTCATTTATATAAGTTCTAAAAGCAGATCAATCTGAACTATGTTTTTTTTTTTTTCCTGGATGCCTCTATGTGCTGAGGAAATGGTCACAAAAACCAAGTAGAGAGAGGGAGGGCCTCGTCCTCAGGGCGGACGCAGGGAGGCTGCTGGCAGGGTTCCGCTTCTCAACATCAGTGGCAGTTGTGTAAATGGTCACTTTATGTTAAACAAGTATAATGTGATATCTCTAGTATTATCTGTAATAAAGTAATAATAAAGTGGATACTTTAATATCTTTGCATTTATGTTTTATGTCCTTTTGTGTCTTATGTACTTCTCCGTAACCAAATCCGGAAACTACAAAGGCATCACATGCTGACTGCTACTTCTCATAACATGAGCACCACCCATGATGAAGGCCTGGCTCCGGGAGTGTGCGCGCGCCTACGTACGCGTGGCACTGATTCAAATGTAAACACCGTAAATCTCATTCAAATGCCTAATGTTCTCATCGCTATGAAACTTTGTGAATTGGTGATATAAAAACTGGAAACTTTGGCAAGTCTCCTTATACTTTCATTATTTGCCCAACCTTGGGAGTTTGGAGCATAAACAGATGTGGAGTCCCAGAAGACATCGCAGGAGACATATAATAGTTAAAAGTATTGCCTTTGGCCAGTCGTGAGTGAAATTTCCCTTTTAGGTAAGCAAAATCCATACTTAGGTAATTTTTTACCTTTTAGGAAGAAACCGCCACATCCTTTCAAAATAATTTATGATTTTAGAAGTCATATCTGCTCATTGCTGAAAATGAAAACCTTTCTTTTTGTTTTTCTGTAACTGAGTGAATATTTGGCACCGCTGTTGTATAACAGTATTCTTGTGTCTCTTGAGCTGCATTACGTGCCAAAAATACAGGGAGCATTGTGAGAAGGATGGTGACGAGAGAGTATTTCCTTTAGAAGAAAGTCATATGATATCTCTCATAGTCCCCTCCCTCCCCCTCATGTTTGCTTAAATTATATATTATTTACAAAGTGGATTAATAGCAGTTAAGATCACGGACTTTGGGATTAGACGGTTCCAGATGCACCACTGGCCTTGTCTGGGCCCCCAGCCTCTGAGTGTGTGTCTTATTTTCTGGGCAATGGGTTTGATAATAATACTCTGTGTAGCTGCAGAATCGGGTGAGAGACACAGCTGAAGCACAGTCCCCAGCCCACAGAGAGGGCTCTGGGCTCCTTAGCCATTTGGATGACTCCCCTCCCTTCCTTCCTTCCTTCCTTCTTTTTGATGAAAGAAAGAAGAGCTGTCCATTCATTTAAATTTAAAATGGGCCATCAGTTAAAACTGACAGAATTAACTTTTCAGTCAGGTAAAGTTAGATTATTCCATATGAATAAGGTTTATCTCAAACACTCTACATAAAGTCCAGGTGTGGTGGGAAGGCTTACAAGGACATTAAGAAGTGAACACCTGTCAGCCGAAGGGACTCAGGCCTGTCGACCTGTGGGAGGAAGACAAGTACCTCTCCAGGGCACTGCACCATCCTCCACTGTGGAGACCCTATTTTCCACTGGAAGGCAGGAGACCATCCTGAAATAGCATGCAGGCTGGCTTTTGCGCTAATGCCATCGCTCTTGGTACAGCAGACTGTGGGTTGGGATCTACTTTTTCTTAGCAGCAGTCTACAGAAGGGAAGAATGTGGCATCATCCTGGTGGGAGCCGCTCTACATTTGCAACTAACTCAAATAGTCCTGCTAATGACTTTGCTTCTCTGAAGTTCCCTAAGATGGGGTAGTCATTTCAGACCCTTAGGAGTATGTGACAACATGCCCTGGTGCTCACTATCAGCTGGTGACTGGTGGGATGCCACACAGTGGAAACCTGGCCCCAACCCACAGCATGAACTTCCGTTTAAAACCCCCACGTTCCTGTCTCCAACCCTCCTGTGCTTCGTTATAGATCGTGCACTTTCTGTTTTCCAGGAGTGTCCCTAGCGCTGCTGAGAGGCAGCAAACTCTTAGAGCAGTCTGAGGCTAGTTTGTTCCTTTAAAATCTTCTCTGGAGAGGGTAGATGGAGAAATCTCCAACAGTTGGTCGATGCCGCGAGGTCAGTCCTCATCACGAATGCCCCAAAGCCCAGTCCTCATTAATCAGTTTATGGAATATTGTGGGAGAATTTTAAGCACAAGATGTTGTTTCCCAGCCACTAATTCTCTTTTCACCCACCACAGCAAGCCCACTGCTTGCTTTCCTGGGACACGCAGACAGCCAAATAGTGTCAATAATTTATCCTCTTAGTTTTTCCAAAGCCAAGTGGAGGACAGGGTGAACTTTGTGATACCTGTTGGGTCTGTGTGAACAGAAGTTCTGGGTCCCTGAAGGTTGTCCTCACCCGAGTTCCACTGAGTTCTGTGGCTCTCGGGAATCTGACCTGCCCATGCATCTCTGGTCCCAGGTATGACTTGTCAGGATACCCATGTGGCCTCAGGCTCAGGTGACCGACTTCATTTCCTACCAGGCCCCTTGTTGGACCCAGTCCTGTCTCTCTGAAGTCCTCACAACACACCAAGCTTGTTCTGATTTCTGTGCCGTGGGCTGGGGTGTGGCTCTCCCGCCTCATGACCACACCCTGGATCACCCTGTCCTGGCGTCCTTGATTGTCTTGTTGTAACTGCTTGTGCTTCAGTTTTGAAAGGGGAGAGTGGCTTGGCTCCTGTGGCTTGAGTGGCTAAGGCACCAGCCACATATACCTAAGGTGGCGGGTTCGAATCCAGCCCAGACCTGCCAAACAACAATGATGGCTGCAACCAAAAAAAGTAGTCAGGCATTGTGGTGGGCACCTGTGGTCCCAGCTACTTGGGAGGTGGAGGCAGGAGTCTGGCTTGAGCCCAGGAATTGGAGGTTGCTGTGAGCTGTGATGCCATAGCACTCTACCCAGGGGGACAGCTTGAGGCTCTGTCTCAAAAAAAAAAAAAAAAGAAAAGAAAAGAAAGGGGAGAACTTTGGTGTCAGGGAGATTGAGTTTTAAATCATAGATAGTTGTTTACCTTCTATGTGACCTCACTTAATGTCGGGTGGCAGGTCACTTAATGTCCTCCATCTGTAATTTCCTTTTTGTCAAGGAGGGTTATGAGAACCTTCATCACAGGACCAATGTGAGGACTAAATAAGGAGGGACGGTCCAGACCCAGGGCAGTAAAGTACAGAGTCAAGCTCATGCCTGCTCTCTTCCCTCCCTCCCTGTCTGGGTTATTTCTGGAGATGGAGAATTATGACCTGATTCTGTGGCCTCCATAGTCTCAAGTACACAGCTGGCACTATGTGAATACTTTTTGCTGGAGAGAACATATTTGCAGAAAGACAGACATAGGGGTCATTCTGTCTCTCAATGATGTGTTTCTGTCCTTTCTCAAAATACAATTTTGGTTAATTTTGCCCTCTGCAGAACTGCATCATAAAGGCCACTTAAGTCAATTTAGGATAGTCAGGTACTGTGTTTGCTTTGAGATTCAGTCAGTAGACACAGGGCCCCGGCTTGTACTTCCCACAGCTTCTAGGTGTTGGGTATTTCATCCGGGTTGTCACCTGTGGAGCATCCAACCATTTTTCCAGTGACCCATTTTTCTCATCTGGGCTTCCAACTTGTGGGTGAGGTGCTCATTTCTTGAGAAGTGAGGCCTTGGTCCTTTGATACAGATGCCACCCATGTGGCTGTTGCTCTTGCAAGCATGTTCCTGCAGGCATCATGCTGTCCCTGGAGCCTTGCCTTCGCTCTGCCCCCTGAGGAGTGCTTACCCCCGGGTGCCCGCCTACTGCTCTTTAAGAGCTAGAATTACACCCTCAATGCACCTTCCAGAATTGGGCCTCTTCCCCTCTGGTCTCACAAACTTACCTGTCCTCCTTTTTAAGCTCCTGTGTGTTTAACTAACTGCACAGAGATTTCCCATAAAACCTCTAATGCCTGCTATTTCACTGGTCTCTGTTTCCCCTTACTGTATTTGGAGTGTGACTGGTTTGAACAATGATGCTGTGTCTTCGTGTCTTATTTCTGAATCCCAAGACCTAGTCTGTTTTGGTCTGTGTGGTCAGTCTGTAACTGCTTCATTCTGGGGACTCTGTTGCTAGCTCAGAAAATGACCACCACCCACGCTTCGGCTGCTGGTGCAAGGGGAAAGTGTGCTTTGCCCACTTGAAGTCCCAGACTTTTCTTTAACTAAATGGATGCCCTTAGTCATAGGTGTAGAGCTCCTATGGGCCCAGCGCTAGGCCCTTACACAGACATGGTCCCAATTCCGCATCGTCCACATAGGATGTCTCTCTCAGTCCAAGGCAATGATGAGCATGGGAGTGTTACATGTCATAGATGGAGTAGGCTCTTATTTAAGAATTTAAATAGAGTACATATTTATAGAGCATTTAGTAACTAGATTCTATTATGATCCAAGACCTGTGGTACATTTACCTAAGTTCAAAGAGATTTGTTCTCATTAAAACAGGCGAATCAAAACAGGTACATTCTGTGCTTGTTTAAAGAAGCGATGCCAAGATAAAATTAAACAAGCACTTAGCACATCAGCCCTGGAGACTGTATGAGGAAAGTGTTAGAACACCTCAGTGTTAGGCCCGGCTGGACGCTGACGCCGTTACTTGGTGACCCTGTTGCCCTGTGACCCTGGTAACGCTCTCTGTTTTCCACTCTCCCAGGCATGCGCCAAGGCAACGACCACGGCACTCGGTACCGCTCAGCCATCTACCCGACCTCGGCCAAGCAGATGGAGGCTGCCTTGCAGTCCCGAGAGGAATACCAGAAGGTAGGGGCCCCCGTGACTCTGACTCGGGCTGTGTCCCGACTCAGGAGGAGAGCTTGGTTCTTTTCACCTGGAAATGTGTTCTCTTTGCATAACTTTTGGAAATTTCCACCAGCCTCTTGCAGTAGAGCCATTGTGCCTGGTAAATGTGCTAAGTACAAATTAAAGGGTAGGCCCCTGCATGTTTCTCTTTAAAGTCAACTGATTCAGGGGAATTCTTGCTTGTTAAGACACTGAAAATACAGTCCCTGTCTCTCTCTCTCTGAATCTCTCTCTCCTTTCTTCTTCTCTTTGTGTTCATTTCCTCAGGCCACCATAGCTAAACACCACAGGCTGGGCAGCTTGAACAACACATATTTATTATCTCACAGCTCTGAAGGCTGGAAGCCCAAGGTCACGGTGTGGGCAGGGTTGGTTCCTTGTGAGGGCTGAGCAGGAAGGATGTGTTCTCTCTCCTTGGCTGTCCGTGGCCATCTGCTGCCTGTTATATTCACATCACCTTCCCTTTATGGATGTCTGTTTCTGTGTCCAAATTTCTCATTTTCCTGTGGACTCCAATTGTATTAGGACTAACTGATGACTGCATTTAACTTGACCTCTGTGAAACCCTATCTCCACGTAAGGTCACATTCTGAGGGGTTAGGACTTGAACATATCTTATTGTGAAGGGCACAATTCAACCGTAATCCTCACTCTCTTGGCCCATTACAGTAAGTTGAATTATAATAAAAATACTTCTCCAAAATATATTTGTTATATCACAAAATAATTTTAGTCTTTAGAGTTTTGTGATAATGGTTAACTTTTAATTATCATTATATTTTCTGGTATGGATCCACATTTGACAGGTAAGCTAGATGCTACCGGAATACTGATCTGTTTTGGAATTACATGCCAAAAGTCTGGCATGCAATAGCTCCCACTCATTCCATGCAGTGGCAGGTAGGGTCTAGGATAGGAGAGTGTCCATCAGTGATAAAATAGCAGGACACATGGGTCATGGTCACCTCAACTCTGAAAAGCCAAGAGGGCTGAGGGAGGTGCTGATGGGACCTGTTCATTCCTTGGCCTGTCTCGTCTCCCTTCAACCTTGTAGGGTGCCTATAGGATAAACCCAGGGATCTTTGCCCATGTGTAATCCCCTCTCCTCAAATGTGGGCTAGATTTGGTGACTCACTTCTAATGAATGACAGAGTGATGGGATATCACTCTGAGAGTAGGCCATAAAAGACTGTGGCCCCCATTGTGGGAGCTCTCTCTTTCATTCTCACTTGCTCACTGGGATCATTGCCCTGGGGGAGGCCAGCTTCCATGTCATGAGACACCCCTGTGTCAAGGCTCATGTGGCAAGGAGTGGAAGACCTGCGAAGGGCCACATGGGTGAGCCTGGAAGCCCTTCAACCCCACTCAAACTGTCAGATGAGATCGCAACCCTGGCTGCTGGTTTGATTGAAGTCTCATAAAAGACCTGGAGCCGTAGGCACCCTGCTAAGCTGTGCCATAGAAACTGTGAGATAATAGTGTATGTTCTTTTAATCTGCTAATGTTCTGGAGTAATTTGAATATTCTTGTATTTCTGTTCTGAAAAGTTTTTATCTTTAAATTATCTTTTCTCTTATCCCTCTCATCATGACCTTTCTGACAATGGTGGGCTTCTCTGGGCATTTGTAGTGGTGGATACTCTTGTAGCCACTAGCATTAAATTGCCAGCTGTGTGACTTATCGAGCGCCTGACACTTATAAAGCCACGTGTCTTATTTAACCGAACCAAATCTGTGAGGATGAGGGAGGCCCTCTTATCCCTCTTTTTCACATGCTTAAAATCACAGAGGGATGTTCTTAGAAGAACTGGAATTAAAGAGAAGACTGGATGCAGAGATGAGTTGGGCACCTGTCACAGGACTCTGGGCCAGAAATGGTGGAAGCTTTGTCTGGGATGGTAGAAGCATAAATAAGGTGAAAGGATATTTAGGAAGTTTAACTAACAGGACTTGGAAGTTCATTGGAGGTGGACAACAATGAGAGGGACGGGTCCAGGGTGACTTACAGGTTTCTGGCTGGTGACTTTCTTTAGCAAAGTGTGGAAGAGCAAAGGCAGATGTGTGGGGGAAGGTAAGTTAAATTTTGGAAATGTGGAGTTTGAGGTCTCCATGTGATGGGTGTCCAGGTGGCTGCTGGGAGGAGACATGAGCTGTTCTGACCTTGTGGGGATTGTTAACCAGGTTCATATGCGTGAAGCCCATTGTAAGTGCTCAGTAAACAGGGGCCTTTGCTATTATTGGGAGTTATTAACTTATACTGAGTAAACAAAACCCCAATTACTGATGAGATTCCCAGGGAGGAGTGATGAGAGAAGGCTTAGTACTGGAAGAGCACTTACACTTGAGAGATAGTTAGGGGAACACTTCACCAAGCAGGACGCCACACTGGGCCCCACAGAGGACCAACCCCAACTAAGAACTTAGAAAGAAATTTGATCTGGTTTCATCCCACTGTATTTAGTCATAAAGGCGATGTGCGTAATTCAGACTAGAAGTCACATATGCTGTCTGTAAATCACCTAATGTCGTGATTCACGATCCCCTAGGAAGCTCCAGAAGTGTAGAAATTCCCTCTAGAATATCTTGAAATGAAATGATGTCCTGGTGTTCACAGTGGAAGCTTTAAGTTCAAAAGGCCATTGCCTTCCATGGGATGATTAAGAGGCTTAGTCAGACTTCATTTTCTGTCCCAATATAGTTTCTGCATTTTGCTTTCAAAAGAACCTATGTTGATTTTAGATGACTGATATCCATGGGAAATAAAATTTAGCTACTAATTAATTACTTAGATCCTTTAGTCATTTCTCCATTATTTTACTATGTACAATATTTTTAAAATGTTAATCTTATATTCTAGAAAGTCATTGCAACCAAATGCTTTTTGGGTGTTCTGTACCTAAGCATATGGGAATTAAAGACATATATATATATATATATACTTTTTTTTGCTTGACTTTTAAAAGTAGGGTCTACTTTAAAAGAGTAAAAGAGTCTCTCTTTTTAATAGAGATTGGGGATTCTTATGCCTCAAGTGTCCAGATATCCATTGCTGTTCACATTACCACATATCACCAACTATGAAAGCAAATACTATCACATCTCTTCTGTGGTATCACATAAATAAAACCAACCCTGGATTCCACTGGCAGATGAGCTGTCCCAGCTAACTGACTAAACCCAGAGAGCCGCGACTCTGGCACCTTCACCCCCTGGGATGGTGGTGCCTCCTCCGCCCTGCACAGTGGAGAGCCGCTGGGCACATGTGGCTATTGAACACTTGAGATATGTACAATGAGGAACAGAATGTTTTGTTTTAATAAGTTTAACTTTATATTTAAAATAGCCCCTTGTGGCTAATGGCTACATATTAGACAGCACAGGAGACCCCCGGAGGCGAGTGTGCGAGTGTGTGCTGCACCGTGGGGTAGGGTGGGCCACATTGTCCTAGCTCCCTGGCCTTCTTCTCTCTCTATGGCTCATCCCAAGGGCAGGGCATGAACACGGTCCTCATGCCCATCAGAGGTGCTGACCAGGGACCATTCTCTCCTTTTTCTTAAACACCACAACACAAGGGCCAAGTCATTTTGCTTTCTGAGAACCCAAGTGTCTCATCAGGTGCCCCATCCTGGTGAGCAGTCGGGCTCCCTGGGCTTCTGTGTCCAGGCAACCAATGGCTTTTATCTTAGCCTGGGCCCCACGGAAAGCAGAGCCCGAGCTGCAGGCTTGTGTGTGGGGCCACACTGGGGTGTGAAGTACCTGGGAACAGGAGTAGGGCAGAGGGAGTGGGAGAGGAAAGTGGAGGACCCATATGAGTTGGCCTCTGCTGCCAGTAGCAGGGTTTTGGAGCCTTATGACATGAGCAGTCGTCCCAGGGCAAGACAAGGAGGCATATTTCCCCTGGATGCCACTACCTGTGGGTTCACTCTGTGCTTCTGGGCTGCACAAGTGCAGGTTGCGGATACAGAGTGGTGGGCCGGAGGTGAGAGGCCCATGGTGCAAGTGTGAGGTGAGGCGCTGGGGCTGCAGGAAGCTGATGAAGGGAGTGGCTGAGAGCCTCACAGGGCTGGGCACTGTGGTGGGGCTGGTAAGAAGAGGCAGGTGAGGCCATGGGGATTTGAAGTGGTGTGGGGGTGCTGGCTGGTGCCCCCATCCCTGAGGTGTCCTTCCTACCCCCAATCCAGGGAAGGCAGCTGATATCCATGGCTCACAGATGATTTGCCATGATCGTGTGACTTTCTGCCACCTCTTAGAGCAGAGAAAGAAAAACACAAGTTTAATTTTTAGCAGGGCATCTTGCTACAATCATATAGTGATATAATATATAGTTTCACATAACATAGAGGGTGTCCATAAAGTTCACACGCCATTTTAAATAGTCAACTATTGTGCCCCTGCACTCCAGCCTGGGCAATAGAGCGAGACCCTGTCTCAAAAAAAAAAAAAAGTATGGTTTCTAATAGATTCTGTAAAATAAGAAAGGACTCAGATCTCACGGATTCCTTTAACCACTGATGGAAGGAGAGCAGGGAGCTGATGAGGTGACCCCTGGGGTTGGTTCTCTGGTGTTTTCTTTCTAGAGTAACCTTGAACAGATTCCTGAAACAACAGAGGCATTTAATCCAGGGAGAGTCATTTTTTTAATACTACAGATTAGGGTCTAGAACTCTGTAATCTTATCAAAGACATTTATTTCTGAAAGCAGAGATACTTTGCCGATGGCTCATTCCATCCATTTTACACACTGCTTTCCCCATTAAAGGTCAGCGTTTCTGGCCCGGTCACTCCATTCTGGGGATTTGTCTCATTTGAGCCTTGGTGGGACCCCATGCACTGACTATAACATTGACTAGATTACTAATTTAATAGTCTTTACCAGTTCGCCCCCAGTGACCCCCTAGTAACCAGCTTTTTCAGCAACTTCTTTATATGAGAAGTTTGGAGTGACAGTATTGCTTACCACAA